CTGCTGTAAGTGTAACAATAGCTTCCGAACACCGAGCCAACTTCCTTCTGGTTCGTACACCGTGCATAGTAGCACCTCTCTGGCTGAAGTGAACATGAAGGGAAGAAGGAAAGAAGCCGAAGCACATTCTCACCTGAGCCTTTCAGTCATGTCACATCACTAACCCACAGTTTGAAGTTCAGCTTTAAAAAAAAGAAACACCCAAAGAAAAACTGCTGCTGTAGCATTACCTCCAAGTGCTGCTGCTTCGCTTTTATCCCTGCTTCCTGCTGCTGATGTCCACAGCAAAGTCCAAGCACACCTACTTTTGTTTTTTTCATGCAAATCTTTTTCATTTAAATGTTTCACGGCAAACCGCGTCGTTATGTTCCAGGTCCAACCTGCAGGATAAACGAAATAATAACCCCCCCAAATAAGGCTTTTGTTTATTCTTACTTTTGTTTTGTATGCAGACAATAATCTGGGATAGATCTGCATGTAAACTGTGTCATTACCACGAGTTTATAATGTGAATATTTTACTTTGTACTGAGTTATGCTGATTCTGTAATATCCAAGCACAAGGTCGTGAGTTCCTTATTAACATTCTTACACTTCTTTTGATGGACAATTGTTTATTTCTTTAGTTCAAAGGACTAAGTGTGGCGTCTCTTTCTACTGCACACAAGCTAAAGACACAGCTCAACATCAAAGTATTTGCTAGGTTGTTAGCTTTCCCCCCCACTTATGACTGATCAACAATCCAGATACTGGATCACTTCATACCTTAAAAAAAAAAAGATACTCAGACTTTAGTGACGATCTATTTTATTAGTAGTCAAAAGAGGCTACAGTATGTTAGCATCACCAGCAGTGATATGTTTCCATGCTGCATTCAGATTAGAGCATCGCAGATGAATGTTTTAAGGACAGTTTGAGATTAGAAAAAGAGGAAAGGCCACAGATTGGTCGAGTCAGCTCCAATTTTACATGCCAGTCTAGTCAAAATGGCTGTTTCTCCTTTGTCACTGACTGAATGAAATGAAAACAGTTGATCCCAGATAACAGAAGCGCAGATTATATCTGCCAGTTCATGTTATATATGAATTGTACGGCTATCCAAGCAGAGTAAAGCCGAACCCTATGCCCTAAACATGAAACCCTCAAAGCAGTAATGTGAGTGTGCGAGTATAACATGGATCAAAATGGTATAAACAGGAACCTTAAAGCCAGAATAGGTTTTCTGTTGTGGCCTAGGGTCTGTCTGATCTGTTGTGTTCCAGGCTCCCATCTAACAGAGGAGACAAGAGCGACCTGTCATATAATGGATTTACTTGATTTAGTCGAAATATAATACGT